ATAAGGGAAATTAGGCATTCGTGGCCAAAATCTGTTGTTGAGGTTTTAACCATATATGGTAATTGATTGTGATAACTTTAATAACTGTGGAGTATTTGTAAGAAATTATGAGAATTGGAGGCGTAAATATGATACGGGATTGAACTTATATCCATTAATTTTAAAGGTTTTAGGTATAATCTTAAAACGATGATTAGATGGTTTAATTGTGTTAAAATTATAAATTAACTTGAGATAATTATAGTATTGGATGAGTTGTAATTTTCTGATAGTTTAGGTTTTTACGGAATTGAAATCGGAGGTCTGAAAGGTCTCCAACGGTGAAAAAAGCAGAAAATTTTGCATGTTGTCCGTCACGACTGTTCATGTTTTCGGTCGAAATCGTTTTGGACGTAATTTTTGATCCGTAAGCCCGTTTCGGTCCCTGTTCGAAGTGTTAGAAATCTAATGAACATGGCTATAACATAGAATAGATAAGAGAATCGGTTGCCCAATATTGTTATATCTAATATGTTTGGGAAGTCAATTATATATATGTTCTATTAATGAATTATTGCACTGTTTGATGCCGGTTGTGAAATTATTGGTGGATAATTTATCGAATACTTGTGTGTATGCTTATGCAGTGCTATTTTGATGCTTTGATGTTGTGATTTTCTTGATGAATTACCAGGAGTATGACTGTGATTTCTATGTGATTAATACATGATTGTATGATGATTCCTATGAGTAATGATGATGAGTTATGATGTTGATTCCATGAGTTTTGATGATTATATGATGACATGATTATTATGATGATTTCGATGAATGATGATGCACCTAATGAGATTATTATGAGGATGATATTGACGTGTGCATCATGCATTCATATGCATTCCGGATTTCGGTCTAGAACCTTGATTCTTGTGGTTTCAGTCCTATTGCGCGGATGTGAAGTATTTTGTTGTGCTCTGATTTTTGTGTAGAATCGATCCTACTGTTATGGATTCATAGAGGGTTAATGACCCAATGTCCATCGAATTTTGTTGATTGGTACTGCATGCACGAGTCTTGTTGCATTTGCATTTATGTGACAATTTGGTGTAATTTATAATGTTGTGACCTTTGATGTTCCTTGATGATTATGATGATGTTGAATATGAAAATGACGTTGTTTTATATATTGATTCCTATATTGATTATTATGAATCGTTTTACTCACCCTGACTGTTTGAATGTTGCCTCCACGTGTGTAACGTGCAGATGACCAGGTTTAGCCGTGGATGCCATCGAGGACTTTTTGATGTTTTGGGTCGTTGGCCATTGTGGTTGACTTAGAGGGTATTGCTCTGATAGTGTAACATTGGGTTGGGGCCTTTTGAGTCAAACTATATTTTATTGAGTTTTTGTTATGTTTATTTCCTTGGGGTGAAAGGAAAACTTTGGATTTGCCTTTTTGAGTTCCGCTGCCATTTGAGCACTTTTGAGTAATTGTAGAAAACCTATTGCTTATGGAGCATTGACCTTGATTTGAATTTATTGAGAAGTATACGCCCTTTGAGGTGATTTTATTGCGTTTCAATACTTTACTATGATAAATTCGATTATTTTTCCATAATATTTATGGGGTAGAAAAGAATGTTACATAATATGTTAGAGACAACTTAGGAAAGTCAAAAAAAATTTCTAGAAAAACCTTCTAGATGTGCAAGAAGGCATTAGTAAGTGGAAGATTGTCAATTTCGATCAAGTCCATGTAAAGAAGAAGGAATTGATGGCTAGGATATGAGGTCTCCAAAAAAGAATCCAAGCTGGTAACAGGGCTCGTGGTCCGGTGGATTTGGAATACAAGCTTCACTATGAACTTGATATAATTTTGAAAAAAGAAGAATTAATGTGGCATTGGGCGAAATGGTTGAAAGACGAGGATTGAAATACTAATTATTACCATACAAAAACAATTACCAGAAGAAGGAAGAATAATTTTCTCATGCTAAGAGGATAAGATGGTCAACAAATAGATAATGTGGACCAAATAAGAAGTATTTAAATAAATTCTATCAAAAGTTGTTTAACTTGAACCAGCTTTAGTTTGAATGACTCCAAACGAAGGTGAGGTATCAGAAGATAAATAACATTGGATTGGAAAAGTTAAATCCCCCTATTGAGAATGAGGAGGTTAGGCATGAATTTTTCAATATGAATATGTGGAAAGTTCCTGGACCAGATGGTTTCCTGGAAGTTTTTTTTTCCAGAAGTCCTGGAATATTGTGAGTCAACAGGTGTGTGATTTTGTCAGGGAGGTACGGTCAAACTATGGTTTTAAATTGGGGATCGCATCGCCTGATGCGACCGCAATATTAAGGTTGCGGTAGTGTCCGCATCAGACCGCAATTGTGGTGTAATTGTAAATCACACTAAAAACCGCATTATAACGCCGCAACAACTGTTATTATGCACTCTGTAACTAGTATGAAAACAAATGCAAAATGGAATGGAGCTAGAGGAGAATACTTTCATCCTCAGAGAGGCATTTGACAAGGAGACCCGATTTATCCTTATCTTTTTGTTATATGTATCGATAAGTTGTACCATTTAATCATCTAGGTTGTGAATGAAGGTAAGTGAAAGGCCCTAAAAGCTTGAAGAAATGGTCCAATTGTGACACTGCATTCCTAAGGCTTATGTTGACGAAATCCAAAGGAATCAAAGAAGCTTCATCTGGGGTGATAATGAGCATAGGCGAAGATACCATGCGGTTAAATGGGAGATAGTGACAAGAGCCAGGAAGAATAGTGGATTAGGTTTGCAAAGGCTAAATGAGATGAATCAATCTTGCATCTTGAAATTAGGCAGAAAATCCAAGCTAGATCGCAGGAGCTTTGGAGCAAAGTCTTGATTGGAAAATACAATAGGGATGTTGCGAAAGGTATAGTGGTTACTAAAGAAAATGACTCTCAACTGAAGAAACATATTGTTAAACTCTGGCCTTAATTGGGCACTCACAGTTGGTGGATAGTTGGGGATGGTCGAAGAATTAAGTTATGCAATGATGCTTGGATTAAGGAAGGTATGTGGCTTGTGAACTACAACATCCAAATACCAAATCACATGAGGAGTATTAAATTGTTTGATATGGTGAAAGAAGGTGTATGGAATTGGCAGCTTTTGTCTTGGGTGTCGTTGGATATCATAGCTAAGATTGCAGCAATCCTTCCCCCTGAGGATAGCAATGGTGCTGATATGCAGATATGTAAAGAATCTTGTACATTATGAACGATGATGAGAAAGAATCTTGTACTCCTAGAGTTATCTTCTTGTAGTGATCTTTTTTTTTGGCTTTTAGCCCTCCCTATACATAAAAAAAAAAAAGAAGATAAAAAACTTTTAACAAACCCTTGAAAGCTTTTAACCATACATCAAAAACTTTTAACAAACCCTTGAAAGCTTTAAACTACATATAAAGTTTGTAAACTTGTAACTTTTGCTAGTTTTCCATATTTTTTAGAAATTTGACAAATGTATAAAAAATTACACAAGTATTAAAGTGATAAATAACACGTGAATTATTATTAAATTTTAAATTTTCAAGTGTCATTAACTTTGCTGAATGAATTAATATATGAGACTATAACACTCTTATTCTCTACCTGTATTAGAGCAAAAACGAAAAGATTTGAGATTAAATGCAATTTTGTTCCCAAATTCTTCAACTATTCGATTTTAACCCCTTTTTTTTTTACAATTTTAGCCCTCTAATTCTTTTTTTTTTATTTTTTGTCCTTAAGTCAAAATTTGATTAAATTTCAGCTATCAAAAATGATTTAACACGTGTAATTTTTATCATCCCGAGTATTGTTTGAATTAAAATATTGAAATTTTCTAAAAAGGTCTCACAAGATTTTGTTGAATTTATTCTTACCTTTTATTTATTAGAAATAGAGAACATAATTGTTTCATTTTCTAATACTGAAAATTCAAAAATAGGATTGATGAAAGACAGGGCTAAGGAAAGACATCTGAGGAGCAAATATGATAAACATAAATGATGACCACGGTGGACGACAGGTGGCACTGAAGCCCACAAAGGTTAAAGATTTTTCTTTTTCTTCAAGTAAGATTTATTTTTGAATAAAAATATTATTTATGGATAAAAACTTGACTAAAATCTTTTTCATTTAAGTCCACTATAAGACACATGATAAAGTAACTGGGAGCAAAAAGGGGAAGAAAGAAGAAATATGACTATGCAAAAGATACATAACAACAAATAATTATTAGGCATTTATCTAGGTAGTTTGAATTTTTATGTCATGTTGAAGTGTTCTTCTAATAGCCATTTTGCTTATGTCATTTTGAAGTGCTTTTATAATAGTACTTTTGTTTTTTTTAAGGATGTGATCTCATATTAGTCTACATGAATATATAAAATTTCAAAACAATTTAAAAATGGTTATTAATATCAGTTATTTAATAAAATATTATTCTCCAATATCCTATAATAAAACTATAGAAATTTGATAAATAATTCCTTATAAAATATTTTTTTTTATCATTTATCATTTACTAGTATATATAAATAACTTGAAAATTAAAAGTGAAGAAAAGGGTATAAGAAAAAAAAAAGTGAAGAGCATTAAAGTGCCCTCTAAAGAGTTGAATAGATTTATCCATAAAAAGAACAAAATGAGTTGTAAAAGGCCAAAATCATTCACTTAATAGCACATGTCTTGGTGCATAAAAAAAAGAGTGACCACCACAAGAAAACTAACATGAAATGTTAATCTTTATTACACCGCACATAATAGATGATGTAAAAGGCAAAGAGTCCGCGGTGAGTGGAAAAAGAAAGAAAAATACAAAGTAGTTGGAAGTGATGAAACAAACTCCTGTTTCATAAATGCTCAACTTTATCAAATTTTTCACTTCATTTCCCAATTTAAACCTTCCTTATAGTACTATACTTGTATGCATTTCATTCATATTTCACATCTTGTGTTCTTGTTTCTCACCGCAATATGAGTTCTTCTTGCAAAAGAACACTTTCTCTTCCACTTCACAAGGTACTTTACTTTTATTTTTCTTGTTTATTTTTCTTAATACAAATGAATTTTTTTCATTGATGTTTATTATTTGGAAGGAGAATCCTCTATTGGAAATTCCCTACCAAACGTCACAGGAATCATCATATTCAAACGAGTTTGTTGCAATTAAGATGCCATTAACACCGAGTCCAACACCCTCTTACAAGAAGGTTAATTTTCTTGTTACATCACGTTCGGTTGATGCTCCAATTGTTGATAGTGATAACAACAACCAAGGGATTTCATCAACAAGAGGGAAATCATCCGGTGCTAGAAGTATTTTACCGAAATTGAACTTTCGGTATAATAGGACATCATCCTCTGATATTGAAAAGGGTATAACTTTGGCTCCGGAAAGTCCTTATGAGAAGCCTTCAGTCTCTGGATCAGTTTCTTTCAGTAAGCTATTTGCTCCTAAGATTTATAGAACTTCTTCGTTACCCGTTGAAGAAATCGGGCGTGTTAATACCGAGTTTGCTTTCGGTGGATGTCTTGGTGCTTCTCCATATGTAAGGCTTTATCTCATTACTACTTGTAATATCAATTTTTGAATAGTGGTTATTTTGTTTTTTCATGTACTAGTAAAGTCCTATTTCAATTAACAGTTTAATTAAATGTGTTTATGATATGAGTGTTTGTGTTTAAGTTGCTTTTCGAACAAAAGATGAAATAAAGTTGTTTTTTTAAAGAGCTTGACTGCAAAATTGCACACACTTGGTGCTGAGAAGGTAGGAAACTGCATATTCCAACCCGCGGTCATGCATATCAAATGTCTCACCAACTTTTTTATCATCTGAGTTGTATTTAAGGGACCAGTCAACCGGTTTTTATAAAAGCTATTAGTTGATTTCATAAGATATTCTGGAGAATCTTTGGAAATAAGCTGAAAATAGCTTGGGAAATAAGCTGAGAACTGCTTATGGATATAAGCTGAAAAATGACTTATGAATATGTTATAAGCTTTTTTCATATGTTCTCCAGAAAAAGCTCATAAGTGTTTATGTCAGTAGATAAGCTGAAATAAGTCAATCCAAACAAGTTCTATTTGAACATGACAAGGGTGTGAATATAATTCAATGAACAGGAAGTTCTAAAAGCTCATGTTTTGTTTTTTTAATGCATAAGATCAATGCATGCTTTCCAGTTTCTAGTCCTAATTCTTATATGCTTCAGTTGTTGCCAAATCTTGCATGTTTATCCTTTGTTTTAACCAGTTTGATCGTTTTGTAGAGAAGCCAGGGGTCGATAGCTCGCACTCGTTCAGAGCCTGTAGATAGCCAAGAAAAAATCATAAGGAAAATGGACAAGTTTTACCGCATTATTCCTTCCACCCCAGGTGCAAAGGAAGTTAAAGAATGGTTAAAAACTTCCGCAGAAAACAATACTGGTATTATATTATAAATACAAAAGCTGATTGTTTCCAATTCTATATGTTTTCATTAACTCAACTTAAAAGCCTTTCTTGTTTCAGAAAATGACGGTGATAACGGTGAAGATATAGCTGAAGAGGAAGCTGTGTGTAGAATTTGTCTGATTGAGCTATGTGAAGGAGGCGAGACACTGAAGATGGAATGCAGTTGCAAAGGCGAACTTGCATTGGCTCATCAAGAATGTGCTATCAAGTGGTTCAGTATCCGGGGTAACAAGACATGTGATGTGTGCAAGGAAGAAGTTCAGAATCTCCCCGTCACTCTCTTACGGATCCAAAATGTTCAAACTCAGAATACCGCGGCAAGGTCTCAGCAGGACGACGACTTCAGGCACGTGCAGTTATTTTCATTCCATAAAAATTATTACTGGTATACGTTGAGCGAATTACGGCAATATGCTTCAACTGAGATCTTTGTATCTTTCTTGTGCTAAAAATAATTGCTACCGGTAACACTTCAATTTTTGCGCCCAATTTAACAGGGTTTGGCAGGAGTTACCCGTACTTGTCATCGTCAGCATGCTTGCTTATTTCTGTTTCCTTGAGCAGCTTCTGGTAAGAATAAAAGTCCTCGCATTTCTCTCAAAGTTACTACTCGGTATAGACTAATTCATTCAACTCTACGCAGGTCGGAAAAATGGGAACCAAAGCGATTTTCATTTCTCTTCCGTTTTCCTGTGTACTGGGTCTAGTCTCCGCCATGACATCAACAACCATGGGTAGGTTAGCAAACTATCCTGAATAATAGGGTCAATGTACTTTCGAGGAACTCGTCATAGTCAAAAATTATTTATAGAACCTTGTATGGTCTAAAATGACATAAAATCTCTCTTTTTTGTCCAGTGAGGAACAGGTACATCTGGCTTTACGCGTCTGCCCAATTCGCGTTGGTTGTTCTCTTCGCACATATATTTTACCCCTTGGTAATAGATTTTGGATTTGATTTGTCTTTATGGATACATCACATGTACTGAGTCCTGATACGAAGAATCGCAAAGTGCAAACATACTAACTTCATTCTATTAGTTTGGTATCCTGCAGGTTGGTAAGCAAGCAGTTTTAGCAATCCTTCTTGCATCATTTGCTGGATTTGGTGTAATGATGAGCGGAAGTTCAATAGTTTCCGAGTTACTCAAATGGAGAAGAACTTGGCAAGCATACTCGGAGCAGCGCTCTCAAGTGATGACGCAAGAAGAACTATATTCTCAAAGTGTAATCACCCCACAACCAAGCCTTCCCACCTACAACCAAACTACAGTGCAACTTCAAAATCAACAGAGCTCAATTCATAGTTAAATTGAAGTCTATATGGCTCTTTTCGTGTTGTCTAAAGCAAATGTATAGCCGATTAAGCTCTAGCCGATTTTCAGTACTGCGATATTTATTATGCAGGGTATATTGCAGCAATAGGGAACAACTTGGAACTATAGCTTTCTATGGAGATATTGTTTTTTTCTCTGTTTTAAGCATCTAATTATGCATTCTGTGTTGGTATGCACTATGTGATATGCTAATGCTAAATAGTCAAAAAAGGACTACTATATTGCTGTTAGTATAATATAATTTTTGTTGTCTAATACAACTAGAATGGAAATGTGAATTTTGGTGTTCTGATATTTCACCATATGTGTATTAGAAAAATGTGAGTTCAATAGATTTGGCGTGTATATTTGAAATTTGCCAAATTGACAGAATTATTTAGGTAAAAGTTAAAGGTAGTGGCAATCTAAATGAGAGATGGTTCTTATGCAGAGAAGCCATGTGATTTAAATGCTTTTATTCTATTCTACACTTAAGGCAATGAGCCTAAAATGTTGTAACTAAATATCTAATGGAAAGTCGTTTTATTGTGAGGTGTATGACTCTTGAATATAAATTATTTTTGCCTCGATTTCTAATTAATGTGAAACTATTTTGGTATATAGAATAGTTGCTTACGCTAAGAGAAATTGGGGTTTTCATGTACCGTGTCAATCTACTGGTCGATCTAAGTTCGCGTCACTCCTAATAGTTGCTTATGCTAAGAGGAACGGTGCGAACTTGGAATTTTCATGTACTGTGTCAATGTACTGGTCAACCTAAGTTCGCGTCACTACAGTTACAAGATATTGTCTATTTTAAATGTGAGAGCTCACGATTTTATTTTTTAGAAAAGATATTTTGTTGAGTTGAAGTTTATGGATGTGGTACATAAAATTTCCTTAACTTCGATTCTAAATAAGAATTATTTTGAATAGTTTGAACAAAATTATAAATTCAAATTGAATTAATACAAAAAGGGATAGAATTTTGTTTATAAAAATTTATATTTAAGGATATATATTATTAATGAGGATTATATTTTTCAAGTTAATAAATAAATTTAATAATTTAAGATGAGATTTATATTAGAAAGAAATACATTTTTCTTAATGCAATGGGTCGGATTATTTGGGACATACTTTACTTTACACCTCAATTTTATGTGTGTGAAGAATCTACTCATCTCTTTTAGAAATGAAGAGTTTGATTATGATGTATGAAGACATATCCACTTTTAAAATTGATGACATAATCAAACCTTTTCTACACTCAAAGGTATGGCAATCTCTTTATTTTCACTCACTTCACATGAACTTTTAGAACCATTTCCAGGGGCATAGATCATTAACTTTTAGAACCATTTATTTTGGACACATGTAACCCTTTCTCACTACAATGTCATATTATGTGTCCACATCCTCATAAACTAAAATAATTTTATAATGGAGACTCTTGATGCATGGATATTGATTAGTTTTTCTATATATTAAATTTTCATTATTTTAATATTTTTTATCATATATTGTTAATTATTTATATGATAATAATGTATTATAAAAATTTTTAGTTAAATATTTTTTTAACAACAATATGATACATTGAAATGACAATAAGAATTATTTTTACAAATTTTAGTCAAAGTTCTATACATAAGTCAAAAGAATTCAATCTATTCTGAGAGAACCGAGCATATTGATGTTAGGTTGCATTTTGTCAAGAAGAAAATCAAAAGGGGAGAAGTCAAAGGGATGAAAGTTTTGACTGATCACAATGTTGCTGGTATGATCACAAAGTCATTACCAAGCAACCAATTCTTCTATTGTATGTAGTTGATAAAACTGCATGATGATAGTTAGTTTGTTTCCTTGATATTTTGGAGTTTGTTTCAAGATGGAGATTTGTAGTAATAGATTGAGCTCGAGTCTCGACAGGGGTAACTTCAGGATTCGGCATGGTCAAATGTGTGTGTTGTATTCGAAGTTTGTTCAAGCATGAGTAATCAAAAGTAGTTATGTATTATGTCATGTAATAGTTATGTATGTCATGTATATGTGTTATCTTCATACATAACATACATATGTTAGTAGTTTATAAATATGTTGCTCTCTTCTTGTTAGAGGAGAGGTTGATTGTTATTTTTTACTTGTAATCATTTAACGCTCTTTGAGAGAGTGAATGCAATAACCAGCATAACAAACTCTATTTTATCGTATCTTTTTTGAATTGAACGCTTTCTTATTTTATTTAAAAAATTCACTCTTTTTCACCGTCTTACTTTATTCTTGTCATTGATATCATAACATATTACAGATTGTGAGGTTTGAATAACCTCCCTACTAAGTAAGTTAACTACGTTAACAATGAAATAAATCCTACTCTACAAGATTTATTCCTTAACATCACCCTACAAAAATGACAAGATCTCCGGTTTTTAAGGACCATTGAAACTTTTAATAGTCCACAAAATCCAATTTAAAAGGTTTGTTAAAAAATTTCATGCTAAATAAAACAATACTCAAATATTCATGAAACATAATTTTTTTTATCAATTTTTATTTTTGATATCATTTTGGCTCATAAACATATAAATTTCATATTATAATTTTGTCTATATAAAACGTCTTTATTTATAAAAAAACTATTATTAGAATTCCAAAATTGTTCATTAAAATGGTTAAATCATTTATACACACTACATCTAAGTTATATCATAGAAGTTGCCTTAAACAATCATCGTGTCATGCTAATGCCACCTAACAATTAGGTTGTTTAATTTGTGATCCATAATCATGAAGTTAACAACTGCTTAATGAAAAAGAACCATTTAGGTAAAGTTGAAAGTAGTGGCAACCTAAATAAGAGTCACATACTTCTTATCGGCATGTGTTATTCAATGTTATTTAATCCAATAAAATAATTGTGGTTTGGTTTAGATGATTTTGGATTAATATAGACATCCTAGTCTAACACATGGAATAGACATAAATCAAAAAAACTTTACTGCTTTCCAAATATATCTATCTAATGAGACATAATCTTGGTGGAATATGAGACATAATCTTGCGGTTACTATTGAAAAAAGAATTCGTGGTCTTCAATATTTAATAAAAAATTATATATTTTAATTTAATATTGTACATTCGTATTTTTTATTAAATATGAATTGAAGTTTGGTGTTTAAATAAATATACGAAGGATAGTGAAAACCCTTCTAAAAAATTTTAATAGATGAAAATGAAAAACGAAAAAAATAAAAATAAAACTCTTACCAATAGGTGTGTGAGACCATTTTTTTCATAACATTCCAAAAATCATTTAACTTTCCATGAAATGCATCAATTTTTAGTGAAAAATCTAGTTTCTTTAATATTATTCCTGAAGAAAATTTCGGTAGTTATTAAGATTACCAACATATTTGTTTTCTAAAGTTTTTATGATTGCTACATCCACTTTAAAAAAGACGTTGGCAATTGGCTTAAAGAGATATTGCAAGTGTTTTTCAAAACTTGCTTCAATATCTTCAAAACCAATTTAGAAGTCTGGACCAAAATCGAATTAAAAGTATTTTATTGAGTTTGTAATCAAGTTCACAGAAAGTTGCGACTTACACACTCCCATTTGGTGTGACAAGAGATTTCACGTTAATGGGAGTGTGTAAGTCGCAACTTTCGGTGAACTTGATTACAAACTCAATAAAATACTTTTAATTCGATTTTGGTCAAGACTTCTAAATTGTTTTTTTGAAGACATTCAAGCAAATTTTGAAAAACACTCGCAACATGTCTTTAAGCCAACTGCCAACGTTTTTTAAATTAGATGTAACAATCATAAAAACTTCAGAAAACAAATATATTGATAATCTTAATAACTATCGAAATTTTCTTCATGCAAGAATAATATTAAAGAAACTATATTTTTCTCTAACAATTGATGCATTTCATGGAGAGTTAAATTATTTTTGGAATGTTATGAAAAAATGGTCTCACACACCTATTGGTAAGAGTTTTATTTTATTTTGTTTTTTGTTTTTCATTTTCATCTATTAAAATTTTTTAGAAGGGTTTCCGCTATCCTTCATATATTTATTATGTCTCATACGATAGATATATTTACAAAGCAGTAACGTTTTTTGGTTTAGGTCTGTTTCATGTGTTGCATTAGTATGTCTATATTAATCCTAAATCATCTAAATCAAACCACGATTATTTTATTCTTTGGATTAAATAACATTGAATATTATTCTTTGGATTAAATAACATTGAATAACACATATCGATAAGAAGTATCGTGTATTTGTTTTCACGTGAGTTGCCACTACTTTCAACTTCACCTAAATGGTTCTTTTTCGGGAAGCAGTGGTTAACTTCACGATTATGGATCACAAACTAAACAGCCTAATTGTTAAGTGGTATTAGCATGACACAATGGTTGTTTATAAATGATTTAACCATTCTAATGAACAATTTTGAAATTCTAATAATAGTTTTTTTTACAATATTTTAATAATAGTTGTTTTTCCTAAAAAACAAAAAAAAATATTTATAAATAAAGATGTTTTATATAAACAAAATTATAACATGAAATTCATATGTTTATGAGCCAAAATTTCATCAAAAATAAAAATTGATAAAAAAAACTATTTTATAAAATGTCGTTGATATCATTAACAGTGATTTTATTATGTTTGGTGAATATTTGAGTATTGTTTTATTTAGCATAAAATTTTCTAACAAACCTTTTAAATTGGATTTTTTTGGACTATTAAAAGTTTCAATGTCCTTAAAAACCGGAGATCTAAGCATTTTTGTAAGGTGATATTAGGGAATAAATCTTGTAGAGTAGGATTTATTTCATTGTTAATAGTTAACTTGCTTAGTAAGGAGGTTATTCAAACCTCACAATCCATAATATGATTAATTATATTATAAATTTTGTTATGATATCAATGAGAAGAATAAAGTAAAACTGTGAAAAAGAGTGAATTTTTTAAATAA